GGCAGCGGTCGGCAATTGAACTTAACGATCAATCCAACGTATTACTGACAAATTGAACTTGACACATTGACAATTTGCAACATGTAAGATGTCTATGATATTGTGGTATTCTTGCCAATCTAATAAAACAAATCTCATTGGGCCTCTTATTACATAATCTCTGACATGTATATTTGTTAAGACCATATAGGGAAGATCGTTACCCTTCGTACGCGGGGCACATTCATACAGTCAAAATAAAACTTGAACGAAATAAAGTACAGTCTTGCTTTTGTATGTGTGCATGAGTCGAGGTACCAACTATACATCAACGAAGTTTCGTGAAATTCGCACCGATGAGAGTGAAGTTACAGGCATAGACGTGTTTTCGCGCTCGGTAAGTAATTTTTTGATCTATGTTTTTATCTCTTGTTACCGTAGATAAAATAAGTTTTCGTGTAGAGTATTCTATCAGTAACTAGCAAAAATATACTTAAGATACGTCTCCAATACTTTATTTATGACGTTTTCCTATTAATATTAAAATAAGTTATATTTTGTTGTTATTCAGTTAGTGGGGTACATTCGACAGCACTAGATGGGGCACATTTGTACGAATTGTACAACTAAATTTGTATAATAATTTGTCGACGCGAACTGTCTTTTTCATTCAAATTAAGTTTTCGACTTTCTACATATTACACTACTGTTAAGGCATCTTGACTAAGGTTGATTTTGATGCTTGTGAACCAGATGCTGTGAATAATTTACCAATCCATCAAATAGTAGTTCCTTCGAAGTCAGTTTTGACACCAGAGGCATTTCGACCCTATTCGCATTCTGTAAGAAGTAATAAAACAAGCAAAATGACGATGACGGCCAGGAAAACCACGAATTTATACTGCCACACCCGAAAATAAGAAGTTGTAATCCACACCAAAGAGTAAAAAATGTAATTCTAAATTTAAGATACCTAACTAATTAAATTTTGTTTTACATAAGAAAAGTATTTTATTTTTGTTTAATAGAAATTAAATCTTTATTTTTGTGTTTAATTTCATTGCTAATAAATGAATTTTGAACTACCCCACAGCGTAAGAAGATACCCCAAACACTGTACGAAGGTGCCCCGTTGATGGGGCAGATTCGTACGTTTTCCAGATTTAGTTTAAATCATAATTATGGTTGAAACATCGGATGAAATCATTTGTCATTTTTTTATTTGAATCTCAGATAGTTAGACTATAAATTTAAGCTATCAGGTGATTGATTCATGGAAAAATAAAAAAATTAAAAAATAAAATGTGAAAACCGTACGAAGGGTCCCCACCTTCCCCTACTCTTCAACGCGTATTTTGGGCGTCGTTGAAAGTAGTAATTATTTAAATGTTAAAAAAAATATTTATTTATTCCCACCATAAAATAAGATATCAATGTCAAACTAAGTTGAAAACTTTTGTTGATCACTATACTAACTGCTGAACAGTCAAACCGTATTGTATTGACTGTGGTACAAGCTAAATGACGTCAAGCACCGAATAATCTTAAAACTTGTCCACCAGTCCACTAAATAAGAGATAAAGACCTTAGCTAAATAGGCTTGCTTAGACGGATGTGTGCACAGACATAATATTGCTCACGCTCACTCAAGCAAGCGAATCCAAGGGAAGAAAGGAATTATTGGTAAAGAATAAACTATTTCTTACGAATATATAATATATATAATATATACCCTTTTTATAGTCAATCCACATTAAAATATATCCAACTTCAAAAGCCTTATATTTTTAATATAAAATAGGAATTCTAAAGTAAATGACGGATATTTTTTTAAATATATATTTTCATTTTAAAATTATATAAAAAGAAGAAAAGAGCGTACCAATTCTAAAAAGGCTGGCAACGCACTTGCGATCTCTATTGAGTATTGAGAGTGTTCTTGGGCGGGGCGGTATCACTTAACATCAGGTGAGTCTCCTGCGCGTTTGCCTCCTATTACATAAAAAAACTAATCAAATTTGTCACACTAATCTCTAGGTTTTGGACCCAGAATTTCAAATTATTTTTAAGCCGGACTACTTATTTTAGTTTTTTTTTTTACACAACAATACTATACATATATCAAATAATACAAGGAGTATGGGCATAGCCACCATTTAGTGGGAAACAGACTAGTATGAAAGCCTACAATTCTCCTTAGTCAATTAACATTAAAAAACGCAAAACTGATAAAATGTAAAACTGTTCAGCTCATTTAACATTCAATTGTATTTCTTAAAAGGATATCGTTGTTGTTGAATCGAGATTGAATTAAAAAACGTGATGCGCCTGCGGTGATTTTTCGCCCAACCTGAGATTGCGACAGCGATATCGTTCCCGAAGTTTTTATTCGTCAACAAAAGCTTGCGAATACAGATACCGGCAAACTTCTTGAGCATTAAACAAGGGAGTGGGGAAATGTTTGCGCAGCTCGGGACACAAAGGTCAACTGATTTACCAATCACGCGATCGACACGTCACTCGACCATCACCCGCAACCCCCCCCAGTGATACCTAAAAATCGCTTCTGCGCCGGCAAGGACATTTGTTGAAGATGTTTGCCAGTATCTGTACTTGTATTAAAATTACTTTATTTATTGTAATTTAGTTATGATTAATTAGAATCGCATACTGAAATCGGAGTTGTTGTGTATCGCGCCATTGTCACTTAAAGCACAGTTAACCCATGGCATAAGAATGTTACTATCATATTATCATGCTGCAAGGAAGAGTTATATTAGTTCCTATAACAGCTACGCCGATTCTCTTTCCGCACGAACTCAAAGCATATATATATACTAGTGGACCCCACAGACGTTGTCCTGCATGATATTTAAAGCGATTAGGATATTAAGCAAAGTATGAAAGTACCGACTGCAGTGCCATCTGCCGGGCTGATTTGTGAATCTAAACCATTCCCAGATCCCCTTGAACACACACAAAAAATTTCATCAAAATCGGTCCAGTCGTTTGAGAGGAGTTCAGTCACATACACACGCACAGAAGAAATATATATATATATAACATTAACTACCAGAAATTATATTATTATATAAAATTATGTTCAAGTACTAACTATCCAAAAACAACAATTATGCCGTCTTTGGTTATCGTATGTTAGAGGGGTATGCAAATAAGACATTTAATATAAACAGTCACTGACATAAATCATTTTACACTTTTGACACTAAAACTTGTCCACCTCCCGTATTGGTTTTCCACCATCGATTACCCAACCAGAACCACTCTCTGCTTTTTCAAATATTTCGATTATGGCGTCACTCACTTTGTCTACTGTTTGCCATGGAGAGTTGTTTAGAAGTTCAGCATATTCTTCATTTAAATTATCATCCCATGTTATTAAAACTTCTGTTAGTTTAGTTTTAGTTAAACCAGGACAGAGAGCTAACACCCTCACTCCAGTTCTTTTGAAATTACCCTGGTTTCCCAATGATTTCGTAAATGCCATCACTCCAAACTTTGTGGCTTGATATACAGGAAGGTATGGGTCTGTGAACGTTCCATATATCGATGACAAGTTAACGATCGTTCCACCATCTCCTAATTTATCTTTTCGGTATTGGTCCATAAATTTTAGAGAAAACTGTATCAACGCTGTTAAATTTATATCAATAAGTCGCTTTGGATCTTTTTCATCAGCTATTCCAGCATTATTTACCAGAACATCGATATTGTATGTAGCAATGAGTTTGTCCCAGACAGCTTCTAAATCTTTCGTTACATCACATTTAAAGAAAACTGCCTTGTTTTCACCGTATCTATATTTCAAATCATTCACAGATTTATTGCCCTGTATCTCGTCAATGTCTAGAATTATGACAAGTAATGCTTTGTTTTGAAGAAATCTGTCTGCTGCACCGTACCCAATACCAGTGGCTCCGCCCGTGATAAGTATCACTTTATTTTTTATTTCCCGAGACATATTTAATAATATGTATGTTTTGGTTAAAACGTTGTAAAGTAATAAGATATTAATAAAAATACATTTTATCCGATATACTTAATCTGAATAATCATTTCATGACATAAGTATATAATAATTGAATAAGATAAGAAGGTATTTTTTAATATCACTGATAAATAAAGAACAGAACTAAATTTTTGTGTTTCAAAATGGCGACGGTTTTAAAATAAAGAAATGTATTATTTAGAAATAGTTAAGATCATCTGCTTTGATAACCTGAGATCAACTGCATTGACCTTGCTACCTTACAATCTAATATTATTTAAATAGGAATTATCAATTTATTAGAGATCAACTAAGGCAATCAACATAAACAAGTATATAACAGACGCAATATACCTATTATACACTCTCTAAAGCTGACAAACGATGACGAGAACTACACTTATTTTATTATTTTTATGATTAACACAAGCAGAAACAACCGAAACGACAGGAATACGATCTTACAAGATTGTGAAGAATAAAAGAACATGCTCATCACGCCAACATTTGCCTACTTCGCTGTTCGATCAATCCATCCCTAAATCTTATACACCATAATAATCATATGCTTAAGCTTTTAATATTCATTTTATTATTATTTTTAGCTTTTGATGGAAATATATAAAATTATACTAAAATGATGGGATATAATGAAAGGCATTAATCATTCACTTTGTTTAGGAGACTGCAGAAACCCGTACAAAGTATGACTTTGTTTTTTTTCACCAAAATCAATAGTCAAAACAAAAAAAAAACACCAAATCTGACAAAAAAAAACCTCTAGGTTTTTGTAAAATATAATAGTGTAATTAATTTTGCTCCCACCGATATAATAAGAGAAGGGCGTGGAATGCTGTGCGAGCCGTTATAATATATTATATTTAATAAGGCTTCTAAACATCAAAGAACTGTCATGTATTTTTAATACTTCATTCGTTTTCCGAAAAAAAGTCAAATCAAAATTTATTACATTTATTATTACTGTTATACAAAAAACTTGTAAAGCGAATGTTTACACCTCTTTTATAGGTTTCCCACCTTCTATTAACCAAGCTGTACCACTTGCTGCCTTTTCAACCACATCAACGACTGCATTTCCAACAGAATCCACATTTTGCCAAAGTTGATCCTTTAGAAATGCCTTAACGTCTTTTTTTATAACCTCATCAAAAGTATGCACTTCTTCGACAAGGTTAGTGTGCGTAAAACCGGGGCAAATTGCCATTACCCTTACTCCGGATCGCTTGAAGTTGTATGCGTGTCCCAAGGACTTTGTGAAGCCCATAACAGCAAATTTTGATGCTTGATACACAGGCAAGAACTGGTCCACTCTATACCCGTATATGGAAGCCAGGTTGATAATTGTTCCACCTTTACCCGATTTGTCTGTGCGACTGTGCTCCCAATATTTCAAAGACCATTCAATCAATGCTGTTACGTTAATATCTATCGTCTTTTTCGCTAGTTTATCATTTAGAATTCCAGCGTTATTGACAAGTATGTCGATGGAAGGATATTTCTTGACGACATTCATCCATACGGCTTCTAAATCAGTTGTAACATTGCATTTGTAGAACACAGCTCGGTTATTTCCATGCTTTGAGGTCAGCTTCTTAACAGCAGCATCACCATGTTTTTCGTTTATATCTAACAAAATTACTACGCATGCACCTTTATGAAGGAACCTATCGGCTATTTCATAGCCGATGCCTATAGCACCTCCAGTAATCACAGCCACTTTATTTTTAATATCCATCGTGCTCTCCGCCTCACTTACTGCAATGAGATGGACCGAGCTTTATATATCACAACCAAATGTCATTAAGTTATCGCTATGTGACGTTTTAATATTATTATAGTTTAATGCATATACTAATGGTTGTACTTTTCAAACATTTAAGTTAATAAGCATGCCCCCAATACTAAAAATATGCATATGAAACAGATGGTATAATTCCGTTTCCCATTTGTTGCCTCCTCTCCCGGAGTCCCACCTCATCTAAAATAATACCGTCGTACATGGAAAGTGCCCAAGACTTCGTGAGTGCGTAGCTGGTTTTTAACTGTGCCTTTTTTATATTAATCAACTACTAAAATCTATACATTACTCGGAGCCATTAGAGTGATTTGCGAATAACAGTTGGTTAAATGAATCGTTAAAATAAACAGGCTGATATATTTATGTAACAATATTTCACGTAAAGACAGGGGAAAAACTTGTGTATTAAGCAGAACTATGATACTTAATAATTCTCCATTATTATCTAACATTGTTTACGCACAACGGACCTAGTGAGAGAGATGTGCGAAAACTGAGACCACCAACCTTTAACCTTGAATATATCTAACATACGAATGCTAAACGTTTTAATAAACGTAGACAATCTGTTGACAGACTTTACTTTTTTTCTCCTTTTAAAGATCTTTGATTAAAATTATTAATCTTCACCTAAGCTCCCACACATATAATAAAAAACTGCGATTTAATATCGTTGTAACGATTTTCATGTGATTTGAAATTAATGTTGGACCACATTTTTAATCTCTGAAAATACAACACTACAACACTACAACATCCGCCACCGAACTTTACTTGCGGTAAACGTTAAAAACCTTGAAAATATTTAGTATTTCAAATTTATTATCTTGAACAAACTAACCTAACCTATTGATATATCGATAATACGGTAATATAATAGATACGAAATGAATACGCAACCTACTTAACTTATATTCACATTTATAGCCTGCTTTCCTATAATATAATTTAAACAAAACCTATAACTTTAAACATCAGCCCTGCGATTCTGTAACTCACTTTTCGAACTCAGACAGCGGTTTTCGCATCGGCGGTCGCTCTCAAATCAGTCGTGAAGCAGTCATTTTATCATTTGGCAATCTGATAAACAATAAACTACAAGCTCCCACCTTTTCAGAATTGCAAATGATAAAATGACTGCTTCACGACTGATTTGAGAGCGACCGCCGAAGCGAAAACCGCTGTGTGAGTTCGAAAAGTGAGTTACAGAATCGCAGGGCAGTTGAAATTAATACGGAACGATATATTTATAGAACATTAAACAAAAAACGTCACTCAACCTATGTTACAAGATGACATTTAAATGCAGGCTTATCTAGGTTTTTCACTGTTTGTTCCCTGTGATTTTTGGCAGTCTATCCAATATTTTGTCAATGTATTGAAAATTTCTAAAAGACTTTCGGTCAAGCATGTGCAATACGAATCCAGAAGGCATATTTTGTCAAGTTCACAAATAAACACAACACAAATAAACCACTAAAGATATATCGATTACTTAAGTAAAGAGCAGTTCTCACTACTATTTTTGTTTAGAATATGGACACTCTCAATACCTGCTGCTGCTCGCGAGTAAGTTGCCGGCCTTTTAAGATTGGTTTTCTTGAAGGACTCTAAGTCGAATTGGTTCGGAAATATCGAAATCATGATAAACAACAGTCCTATATTTTCTAGGTCCTAAATATAGGACTCTACCACCCAATCTTACGTTAACACCTTCCATCCGTGGGATTTAGGCGAACGCATCAATTTAATATAAAAAAAGGTTTTATATTGAGTCCGCAGTTATAAAATACTTCCCTCATATTATATTGATAAAATTTGCCCGATTTCCTATCGTGTTCTCTATGTTAACAACTACACGAGCGCTAAAATAAATAATCACAGATTATAATAGACTTAAGCAGCATTGTTAGCACAATAGCTTTACATATTGAAGCAGCCATGCAGTTAAAACGAGCTGCAAAACTAATTTGCATGTAAAACGCTTATTGCGACCTATACTAACAATTACTCCTTAAGGATTGGAAGCTGTTACTTATAAATATAAACTAGAATATCTAGGCTACTTTAATATAGAAAGGTCTTGTCTACTACCGGATTTTACTAGCATAAAGTATTTTTTTTTACCCTTGTTAGATGGCAGCACTTATGTATTGTATATTAAATAATAAGAAAAATGGTAATACAAAGTATTTGTTATGTAATTTTGAAGTCTTTTAGCAGTGTTGTATTCAAATGAAAGTCTGGTGAAATATATATTTAATAATATTTTTTAGTTTGCTAATTTTGTATAAATCACAAAGTTATTTCATAGTCTTTCATACTGTTCGCTTTTCGCATCTGAGGCTAGAAAAATAATTCATATTTTATTGCTTGCCGACGTTTAGCTTATAAAGCAGTGGCGCTACTACCATTTAGGTTTGGGCCTCAGATTTCTGTATCTGTTTTTTTAGATAGTACGTAGTACGTAGTATTTTAGAAGTACGTAATCCTGTGACTTACACACGGCGTCGACTTCTTGAGAATAACACATGCCAGTTTCCTCTCAATGTTTTCCTTCAAAGTACGAGAGAGCGTTAAACGCGCAACTAGACAGGAGTCCACTGGACCACATCTAGGTATCGAACCTACGACATCAGTGATGAAAGTCGCACTCAAGTCACTAGGCCATCACTGCTCTCAGCTTATACTGGTTAAGTTAAAAATAATGTCTTACATCTTTGGCACTCATCGGCGAACATAGATACAAAGTATACAATGTTACAAATTAAAGAACGTTTTAAAAGTGTGGTACTGATGAATGTTTAGACCTAACTTGTAAATATGAGTATATGACTTTATGATCATATTATCTTCTGTGTATATTGAACATCGCTCTGGCCCACAAGTAAGACTGTCCCAGTTAGGCAACAAAACTTTCTATTAAGACATAGAAGTGGAATTTTATAAATTTAAAAATATTTTATGATTTGTATTCCACTCACACCACGGTTAACGTTTAAACATTTAAAAGTGTTTCGCTTTTTGTGTAGTTTAAAACAGTACAGTACTATATAGTATATTCTATATATCTTTCACTATTTTGCCTGCAGCGTAATACCACGGCATATCTTATAATTTATTTGTATTATTGGCATTTGTAACATTCTGAATAATAAATATAAATTATATGGTGTAACTTATTAAATAAATATTTACCTGTCTTTTTGCAATGGTGTCTGGTTTATTTCACTTGGAGTAAATGAGCCATTGTCCAGGTGGAAGGGGCTAAAAGCTTTGTAACATTAGTTCCCATCAAGTTATTGAGAACATACGGGAGAGTACAACGCCATGGCTAGAACAAGTAGTAGCAAAATATAGACATATTATTTAGTTACTTTTTAGTCAAATATTTTCTTACATTTTTATAATTTGTCTTATTCTAATTTTTATTAATACTTCATTTAACTAGTGGTTAGAATGTTTTTAAATTTTAAATAAGGATCCGGAGAAATCGAATAATACTTGAAATGCCATTTTTGGCCAGATTGATATATTATTTAGTATTGATTGTTTGTTGTCATAAAGAATAATATACAGGATGGCCAAAAAGACGTGGAATAAACTAGGAGATAGGTAGATCATCTGCAAAAATTGTTTTACGGTAGGTCCATAAGCTCAACCCCTGCAGAGTTATAATTTATTTTGCGTTTTTATAAGAAAATTGATATTTTTTACTAATTCTTATTAAACTTCGACCTTGCGTTAGATATGCTATTTATGGTTGTTTATTGGGTGTGTTAAAGATAATATTAAGTCATTATTAATTTATTATATTTATTATAAAATTACTTAAATCATAACTTTTTGTCTACCGAAAAGTGACCCCGTATAACATATTTTGGCGCATTTAATATGGATTCTGAAAAGATATTACACATGGCCATGAGTGGCTCTAATTTCTTTCTAGGTCGAAAAAACATAATATAATATTTATAATAAATATAATATTTTCAGCAATTTCTTTCTTTTCACTTATTCAAAGTGTGAGCTGAGGGCGCAGAGGTGGATTACTGTTTTACTCTAGCATATGGAAGTTTGCTACACCAAATGTACATTGACAAGTGAGAGGTGAAAGCCATCGGCAAATTTTTTTGCAGACTTCTATCTGTAAAACATCAGAAAACGTCAAACCCAAACATTCGCACTCCAAATTTGCCGCTCCAAAAATCTGTCCCTAGGCTTCCAGCCTACTCAGCCTGCTAGTAAATCTGCTACTGTAGAATACGATGACAACTTCTTTGCTTTTAGAATAATACTTCGAGTACAAAATATATAACGCCTAACAATTTGAAAAAGCACAAAATTTCTTCCAGATTATTGCATAATTTCCGTGACTGGAGTTAAAAAATTCATAGATGGCAACCTGAGTCAACGTCACCATTGTTAAAGCTAAAAAAATAAGTTTATATTGACTATAATATAACTGGAATAACTAACTATGAAAAAACTCCCAAAATCTTTATTGTAAAACTTGCGTAAATAACCATGACATAACTTATTTACAGATTTTGACTGTATATCGGAGCAATTGCGATACTGTCAGCTATCACTGTCTTTATATCATAGTGAATTATCACCCCACTACGGCACAAGCCGAGGTCCAAGTCACGCAGGATACGCCCTTGGGCTAACCCCATTTCCGGCAGACCTACGCTCGCTAAAACAAACAGAGCTGAGCTCAGCTAGCAAGATTCCACTGTCGATGATGATGATGATGTTTGATTCCAACAAACTAATGCATCTGCAATTAACTTAGTTTTCGTAATTTTTCCGAGGATATTATTTAGCAGATTAGTAATTACATATAATATATTTAATAACTCACACATTAGATATAAAAACATTGGAATTGCTTCAATATATTATTAGTCCAACGCAAGGTCATCATAACTTGT